TGTAAGGTATGTTCTGGTATGGGACACTCTAATGAGCATTTCCCTAATCATAAAGTTAACAGGAGAACCAAACACAAGGATAGGGCTCAGAATAAATTTCCCGTCCAGAACGTTTGGCAACCTGCAAATCTGGGTAAAATTGGAGCTAATCAAAGAAATATCAAGGTGAATGTGGAAGTAGGTAATAGTTTTAACTGTCTTGTGGAGGATGAAGAGATGACTACTGACAAGAACAGTAGAATGGAACAGGAGAGAGAAGCATGTAACAGATTATGTAGTATTGCTGAAGGTAGGGTGATGTATGGGGGTTTGGAGGAAGGGGAGTGCTCTTACTCGTTACATGGATAATATAGGGTTTTGGAATGTGAGAGGTTTGAATAAGCTTAATAAAAGGTGTGATGTCTCTTGGTTCTTGAGCCATCACAACTTGGGCTTATTTGGACTTATAGAAACTAAAGTGAAAGCTAAGAAGTTTGGAGAGGTTTTTCATAGTTTTGGTGACTCGTGGTCTGTTATTGCAAACTATTCTAAAAGTGATAAGGGTAGGATATGGGTTATGTGGTTACCTTGAATCTTTCAGGTGAGAGTGATTAGAGTGGAAGTGCAACTTGTTCACTTGGTCGTTACTCATAGAGCTTCTGGTAGAGAATTCCTAGTTACTGTGGTTTATGGTTTAAATGATCCTAAGGAGAGGATGGAGTTATGGGGAAAACTGTCTAAGATTGTTGAAGGCTCTAGCTTAGTATCCTTTGGGTCATTGGAGGTGACTTCAACAATATTTTGAATTTGGAAGACAGGATTGGGTCTCCTTGCACATTGGAGGAGGTTGAGAACTTTAGAGAATGCTTGAGGCAAAATGACCTTACTGATTTTAAAGTGGGGGGGGGGGGGATGTTTTACACCTGGAATAATAAACAGGAGGGGGGAATAGGGTCTGCACTAAAATTGATAGAGTTTTAGTGAATAATGACTGGTTAGATAAGTTTGATCAGTCTTCTCCTACTTTCTTTCCTGAAGGTATGATGGATCATTGTCCTTGTTGTATTAATATCTTTGGGGTGAATGAGAGAGCTGTAAAGCCTTTCAAGTTTTTCAATCATTGGGTAGATGGTCATGATTCTAAGGATCTGGTTCAACAGGAGTGGGACACTAAGATTAGAGGAACAACAATGTTTAGAATGGTTAAGAAGCTTCAAGTTGTCAAGAAGGCTCTCAAGGCTCAGAACTTTAACTCTCTGTCTTCCATTGAATCTGATGAGGAGAAGGCTGCTAGAATTTTGATGAGTGTTCAACAGAAGCTGGATTTAGATCCTTGTAATGAAAACCTAATTTCTGAAGAGAGACAGGCTAGGACTGCTTACCAGGCTGCTCATTCTGCTAAATACAGCTTTCTCAGGGAGAAGGCTAAACTGCACTGGCTGAAAGATGGGGACTTAAATACTGAGTTCTTTCATGCTTATATAAAGAAGAGAAGGGTGCAGAACAAGATATGTAGTGCGATAAAATGTGAGGTCCAAGTAATTCAGGATCCTATTGAGGTTACCAGTGCTTTTGTTAACTATTACAAGAGCTTACTGGGTACTGGCTTTATAGCTGAAAAAACTGTTCACTTAGGGGTCATTGGTGAGGGGAAGGTGTTGAATCAGGAACAGCAGGAGATGTTATGTTGTCCTTTCACTGAAGCTGATGTCAAGGCTGCCCTATGGAGTATTAAGGACAATAAAGCCCCAGGACCTAATGGCTTTTCAAGTAAGTTCTTTAAAGCTTCTTGGGATACTATTAAAAAGGATATGTGTGAGGCGGTTTTATCCTTCTTTGAACATGGATGTCTTCTTAAGAAAGTAAATAATACTGTCTTGACTATGGTTCCTAAAGTAGAGGATGTTGTGTATGTGACTCAATATAGACCTATTGCATGCTGTAATGTACTACACAAACTGGTTTCTAAGCTTCTATGTTCAAGACTGAAACTTGTGCTTCCTGAGTTGATTAGTGAAAATCAGGGTGCATTTGTGGGGGGAAGGTCTATTATGGATAATATACTGGTATGTCAAGACATGCTTAAGAACTACAATAATAAAAGAAAAGCTCTCAGATGTACAGTCAAGGTAGACTTGAGGAAAGCATATGACTCAATGCATTAGTCTTTTATTAGGGATATGTTGATGGCTCTAAATTTCCCTAATCAGTTTGTTAGATGGGTTATGGAGTGTATATCCACCCCCTCTTTCTCTATCATGATAAATGGAAGAATGCATGGGTTTTTTAAGGGGAAGAGAGGGGTTAGACAGGGTGATCTTGTTTCTCCCTTGATGTTTGTGATTGTGATGGAATATCTGTCTAGACTCCTCAAGAAGGTGAGCAAATTGAGAGGGTTCAGATTTCATCAAGGATGTAGGCAGCTGGTTAACTCATTTAGTCTTTGCTGATGACTTGATGCTATTTGGGCATGGAGATAAGAGGACTTTTTCTCTGTTTGTGAGAGCTTTGAGAACTTTTGAGAAAGTTTCTGGTCTGTGTGCAAACTCTGATAAAACAGCCGTTTATTTTGGAAGCATGGAAGAGGGGCTAAAACAGGATATTCTAAGGGATACTGGCTTTGTCCAGGGGGCTTTTCCATTCATATACCTTGGTATCCCTCTCAATGCTAAATACTTGAAGATTTCTGACTTTGACAGTATTATTGACAAGATGCTTACAAGGATTACTTGTTGGACTAGTAGGAATCTATCCTATAGTGCTAGATCTACCCTTATTAATTCTGTGCTGATTAATCTCCATACCTACTGGGCTCAATGTGTGTTATTGCCTAAGGGTGTAATTCATAGAATTACACAGCTCTATAGAGCTATTCTATGGGGGGCTACTGTTGTCCTTGGTTGTGTGCCTCCTATCGCCAGGCAATGGGTTTGTAAACCTAAGAATTATGGGGGATTAGGGATTAGAGATTGATGTTCTTGGAATAAGGCAACCTTGGGGAAGTATATTTGGCAGATTGCTAATAAGAAAGACACCTTATGGATTAAATGGATCCACAACTTGTACTTGAAAGAGCAGAACTGGTGGACTTATAGTCCTAAAAGATGTGATGGCTGGGCATGGAAGAAGCTATGCTCTATCAAGGCTGAACTGCAGCAAGGTTTTGAGAATGAGAACTGGTTGAACAGGAATTATAAAATTAGTGACTGCTATGCTTGGTTACAGGGAAGTCAGATTAAGGTTGGGTGGGATTAATGGGTTTGGAACAGATTTAATATTCCTAGACATTCGTTTATTTCTTGGTTAGCTGTTCAAGAGAGACTCAAAACTCGGGACAGACTTGAGGCTGTGGGCTGCTGTGAGGATGCTACCTGTTTACTATATGGTGAGACAAATGAGACTCATAAGCATCTCTTTTTTGAATGTCCTTAAAGTAGAGTCTGTATCAAGACGGTTGGATCATGGTTGGGCATAAATAAAAGGCATTTCTGTTTAGATAGATCCTGGAAGCACTGGTTGAGACACAGCAAGGACCTGATCTGGAAAAGGACTGCTTTGGTGCTTTGGCAGGGCTAAGTGCTTGTGTTTATCACTTGTGGTTTGCTAGGAACCATGCGTATTAGAAAAAGGCTATTATTCTCCCAGTGAAACTTTGTAAAGCCATCTGTATTGAAATAACCTCGAGGATTCAACAGCTCATTGATAATACTTGGAAAAGAGCTCACTTCAAATGGCTGCACCAGTTGAAGATCAGAACACATGAGATTTGTTTATCACCGTTTGGTGTTGTAATTTCTGTTTCTGGGCTGTAATTTCTGTTTGTCTTGGTCCTTTCTTTGAGAACCCTTCATAGAAGGTGGCTCACAACTTGAGGCCAGGTAGTTCCCCTCCTAGATGTAGGGACCCTTCCTAGAAGGTGGCCTACTCTAGGATGGGGATTTGGAAGGGTTATTTGCCTTAGGGCTATTGTAGTTTTGGTGTTTTGACTTGTTTTTGTAAGTTTGTATTTCTCCTTCCTTTTTTTGGTAATAAAATTACTTATCTTCCAAAAAAAAAAAAGAAACCAATCCCCCCTGCTCTTCCAATACTACTACGGCACACTCCTTTAGTAAATCCACACTTCCTCATAATACCACGAACAACCTGAGCATTCGCTATTGTCTCCATAATGAAGACAATATTTGGCCTTTCCCTCCAGCATAAATCCCCGAGAGTACCCACCGTCTTCGGGTTGCCAATCCCGAAGACGTTCCAACTTATAATTTTCATTGTCCTTCGAGGGGTTGGGGATTACCAACACCCTCTACTTGAATGCAACTGTTCCCAGTGTCAACAACCAAATCAACTCTCCTTCTCTTCTCCCCACAGCCCTCAAGCTCATGCCCACTCTCAGCATTATCCTCCACCAAAACCCTTTTACTATTTGAAAGCCGGTTCTCATCCACATAAGCTTCAGAGAAATTATGTTTATATCCCATTTCCATCCTTTCTATCCTTCTCCACCCTCTGCATTTTTTATGCTGCAAACTCATACCTCCTCCACCATTATCACTTTTCGGTTCATGCATTGAATCCCCCTCCTCATCCACTACACTACCCACCACCCCCTTACCACCCCCAAAATCACAATCCCTATTAACATTAAGGACTCCTATAGCATTAACATACTCCGCCTCGTTCCTAGCCTCCATTCCCCCATACTCACCCACTGACCGTATGTTCCCTATTTCCCTGGTACAGGGATCCTCCTCACTGCACAGCTCCTGATTACCTAACGATTTATGCACCGGTCTAGGCCTAAGCACCATTTGATTTAAACTCATATCAAGAGTTGGCATCAACCTTGTTTCTCTAGCCTCACTCCCTTCCTTCTCCTAAGATCCTAGGGCTGTCTCCTTCTCCTTCATCGACCAGGCCTTTGGCTTGGTAGTAAATACCAGAGACTTTGATGCACGAAGCCTATCATTCTCCTCTTTTATAATGGATGTACTTTTACGCGGGGAAGCTTTAAGCCAGAGCCCCTACTGTTTTTCAACCTCTTCACTCTCATCATCCACCGTAGGACAATCCCGCTCTGAGTGCCCAATCAGACCACACAAAAAATAGAAGATTGAAAGCCTCTCATACTTTATATGGACAGTTGTTGTTGAGCCATCTCTACAGCGAATTTTTTGTAATCTTCGCAGGGCTTTTGTTGTATCCACCAAAACCCTAACTCTCCTTGATTTATCCCACCCTAGCACATCATCTTCCACCTCCAAGACAATCCCTATTTTCTCAGGAATCAGCCTTACATCCGCATTTGACCTACTATCAAAGGGGAGATTGTATAACCTCAGCCAAAACGGGCAATATTTAATCTCTACGTTTTCGGGTTGCTCGTTGTGATGCATTTCTTTGAGTAGTATAAGATGATTGTCAAAAGTCCATGGCGCCCCATCAATGACCTTCTCCTTATCCCTCCAATGAAAAAGTTGCACAACGAATAGATTATTCTCGATACGTCGAAAAATCACACCTTTGTTGAGGGCCCAAATTTGCGAGAGAGTTCTTTGCATGACCTCAAAATTGTAAGCCCTAATTGTCAGAAGTTTTCCCACCAAAGATAACTCAATACTCCCTTTCAATTCATCTTCATTAGCCTCACCTAGTTCCGCAACATCACATTCCTCATCCGTAATCTTCAATTTTGCCCATCGATCACTTAAATCATCCGCCATCTCCAGAGTAACAAAAATATAAAACACACCAGTAACCAATAAACAAACCAGAACCAAGGAAACCAAAACCCCTACCACGAGAGGACAATTTCTTGATTAGATCAAGACCTATGACTCAATTCACCGAAATAGGAAACCCTAGTTTCAGAGAGAGACTCTTTTTTTATTTGAAGATAGTATTATGTGAATTATATTTCTTAAATTAATTAAAGATTTTGTTAGTTTTTGAGTTTTTGTTTTTTAAAGTCTCAAAAGCGAATGATAAGAATTGATCTCAGGATTTCTGAACCCGAAAGAGATACTTTTTTATTAGAATACTTAAGCCACTATGTATTCCTTTCAAAATCACAAAATGGCTTGTCACCTCATCGCTCGGAGACTCGGACCCACCAAAAAAAATAAAAAGAAAAAAAAAATCAAATTTTTTCAAGCACCAATCAAAATTAAGAGTCCTAAGCTAATACGAAGTATGTGCGTATCTGTTAGGCAAGTAACATATCTTGTTTTTGGTGTTACATATTGATAAAAATATTTACCAACTATAATCACAAGCTTAAACAAAGTTCTGCCGCAACAACCCTCCCATTTCTACGTTGACATTTAACGTACGATATCAAATTACGAGGACACACAAAACCAGCAACAAAAACATGATGAATGTTAAGCAACAAATTCAGTTTCCCCTAGCACCGGAGTGTACGCCTGCTTCGCATCGTTTCATGGTTGCGCAGTTTGTGCTCCGTGGTTTGGTCGTTGTTTCTACGGTTATAGCAATTGCTGTGATGGCTTCTAGTGAAGAGTCGATATCAATTTTGGGAATCGAGTTCGTGGCCCGTTATAATGGTTCTTCTGCTTTCAAGTAAATTAATTCATCTTTCTTATTTCTTATTCATTTACATGACGATGATCTAGTTCTTGTGTCGGACAGTCTAATTAATCAGATTTATTTGGTCTAACCAAGAGGTTAACGATGGAAATTTTTCATTTGTTCTTTTTGTGGTTGTTTTGAGTTTATTTAGGTAACTTTTATTTTTATTTTTATTTTTTTTAACGATTGCTCAAATATAACCAAAATTAGAAAAAGTTGCACATTTTATGAGAAATGGATGATAAGTTAAATGGCTAACCTCTTCAAAAAGCAAAGAATAGTCAATTACCAATTGGCTGTTGGTGTAGTGGTGAATGGGGCTACAGTAGGTAGGAAGGACTGCGTGTTCGATCCCTCGGAACAACAATTGGGGCCATTTAACCACCCAAAAGTCCAAAACTGATTCTCGAATCTAGATTAGTCCAAAGGGTGAAACGGGTATAACACCAAAAAATAGAACTAGTCAATTAGGTCCTTTTTGAAGACTAAAATTCGCGTTGATAGTGTGATTTGAAATATATATCAAGATAACACCATTAAATCCAATAAAATAAAGACTTTTTGTATTCTTTTTTACTTGACTTGTTTCTTTTATCACGTTTGTCAGTGCAAAACTTTAACGATCAATAACTTTAATTTTTCATAAGTAAAAATTATAAAAGTTATATATTATGATAGTTCTTGTTAAGAGGAATTTAAAAAAATCCCACATGAATATATTTTTCCTTACATATTATTCATAATTGACGGTCAACAGAGGGGTGGTGAGTGTAAAAGTCAAAATGGGTCAAGTAAAAAAAACGGAGGAAGTAGTTTTTATCCAATGATAATGTTTAGATATACAATAAAATAAAATGGTGGCAATTTTATTTTATCTGAAGCTGATATAAAATGAAGAGGATTATTTAGATCCCAAATGTAGATTTGTATAATTGTGATTATTATGTTGTTCTAATGGTTTAACATCTTGTTTTTTTAATAGGTTTCTTATGGGTGTAGACGTGGTTGTTGGTGCTCTAGCTTTGTTTTCGATGATTGGCGTTTATTTTGCGTTTCGAAAACCATCAAATTTTGTTCACTTATACTATATGTTTCTGCATGATCTGGTGAGTTCAGCGTTTATCACTTTGTTAGTTTTCTCGGCCCATTCCTATCGACATTACGTCATTATCTTTGAAAAGGCTTAACCAAAAAGAATTTCAACTTTAGATAATAAGAACTGTCGAAAATATGTTTTAATTAATTTTACTGGATTATTATAATGCTGGGAGTCATTAGGGATTAAAATTAAATTGTCAAAAATATACATTTAGAATCTTTTTGTGAGAGAAATTATTCAAATAATAACCAGCAAATGGAAAAGGAACAATTAGAAACAATATCGCGAGAGAGGATTTCTAATGTGAAAAGATATACAGTGAGATAATCTTGGCATACTCTTGAAAAAATGATTATATGTACATTGTACTCTATCCGTAAAATGAACAAAAAGAATTGGGGAAAAATAAAAAATAAAAAATATAAATACAATATACTTGTATGACTTTTTTGGCTTATTTAATAATGTACTAAAAATTCAATAACAATAATTTATTCAATAACTTTAAAGAAGAAATATAATACATAATCAATAAAAAATAATTTCAGTTCAGCAAAAATAATTTTAGTTAAGAAAAAACAATTTAAATGTACAAAAATAATTTTTGTTCTGTAAAAATAACTTTAGTTCAGCAAACGTAAGGTGAAGTGAACAGGACCTAATGCCGATATAAATAAAAGCATATTTTATTGATATAGTTATTCAATTTAATAAATAAGTAAAGATCAAATACCAATGAGTGAATTTAATTATATTTTGTTTGTAAAAAGGATCCTATGCTCTATTTATATCAATGTCATATTAGAATTAAAGTTACTTAAAAAGGATTAAACAAATTTTAAATTGACTAAAGTTACCCTAAAACGGTTCGATTTAAACTAATATTATTGTAAACCAAATGTACACAAAAATTTTCACAACAATTAAAACAAATGGATTTTTGAGAAGAGCAATCTATATATGTAGCCAGGTATTTTACATCTAGAATACCATTGGCCCACAATCTATGTTGAGTATGATTTTTTTTTTTTTAAAAAAAAAACTTTATCCCCGTTACATCACCTACCAAAGAATCACCCATTCCCATTTAAATGGGATAATCTAGAATAGGTTTAGACCTCGTTCACTTCACCTTATTTTTGCTGAAATGAAATTATTTTTACTGAACTTAAATTAATTTTACTGAACTGAAATTATTTTTACTAATTTTCTGTTATATTTGTTCCTTAAAGTTATTGAATTTTACTAAACTGAACTTAACTTATTTTTGCTGAATTGAACTTATTTTTACTGAACTGAAATTATTTTTTACTGAATATTAATTTTTTTTTTTAAGGTGAAGTGAATAGGGCCTTTGCCCACTAATTTTTCTTGTTCTACTCACTTAGCCCACTAATTTTTTTTGTTCTACTCACTTAGCCCACTAATTTTTCTAGTTCTACTCTTACATTTTTAAACCATTGCATGGCAAGCTCTTCTATTCTGGTTCACTGGTTCTCGTGCTTGTTTATTTACCAAACCTGATAGATTAAACATAGGTTATTGAATTTTTTTTGGGACAGATTTTGATGGTGTTGACGATATCCGCTTGTGGGGCAGCAACAGCAATTGGGTATGTTGCGCTGAATGGACAACAACAAACTTTATGGCTGAAGGTGTGCGATCGAGTGGGGAATTTTTGCCTGAAAAATGGGATTTCTGTCGCATTTTCATACGCAGCTTTCCTTTGCCTCTTTGCTCTCACTATCATGTCTTCCTACAAGTTATATAATAAGTCGTAAAATATGGCACATGAGTCTCTCTAAATTTCATGTTAGTTGTTAAATATTCCATGTCATTAACTAGCTAGTATAAATGATAATTAATTTCTGAATAACGGAAGGAATAGAAGTTGTATAATTTGGTATATTTTCTCATTAGTTCCTTTTATACGGAGTATAATTGATCCATATAATTACCAAGTAAAGTTTGGTAGAGTTGTGGGGAACTCACCTTGTGACTTTGAGGTCACAAGTTCGAGCCCCATCAACTACAAAATGCTTGTGAGTAGGGTGATTCCCTTATCTCTCCCCTCTACTCTTAAGCGTCGACCTGCGGAGCTAGGCTAGCTAAACTTGTGAGAGGTGCCGATTCAGTAGGGTATTTCATATTACCTTAAAAAAAACAAAAAAAAAAAAAGCAAAATTAATCCGTATAATTGATCACGAATTGTTATAAATCTTATGTACATAAGGTTAAACTTATATACATATAAAAGATTTATAATAATAAGTTATTTTCAACATATTGTATACAATAGAGAAAAGAATATATCAAATTAGTGTTATGCTTAGGAAAATTGGATTAAAATAATACCAGCTATCAACAATATTAGTAAAATAATACGAACTCAGCTATTTGTTATTAGGGATGTCAGTGGGGCGGGTCAACGAGTCAAATAGGAGACCCGCCCCATCCCTGCCCCAATGGGACGGGAATGGGTCTTGGTTTGGCGGGTGATGGGGCGGGGATGGGGATAAAAACCATACCCGACATGGGTGATGGGACGGGGTGGATTTTAGGTTGTATTCGCCGGCCATCCCCGCCCCGCCCCGCCCCACCCCGCCCCACCCCACCCCATTTCGTACCCGCCCAATCCCCACATCCATATATTTGTAAAAACAAAATTATATTCTTTTATACTATTTTATATAAAAAAAATTATGTAAAATAAAATAGTAAATATAATACTTTGTAATACACTTATGTTATAAACAAAACAATGTGTAATATTAACAATAATTTTTTTCTTTTTGTAATCTTTATTCATTATGAAGGATTATGTATTTGTGAGGCGGGAATTAGACAGGTCTTAGGTGAGGATTTGGTGGGGGTGGATATCCATGTGGGGGTGGGGCAAGGATGGTTTTGGAGTTGTACCCGCCGAGGCGGGGATGGAGATGGGTATGAAAATTTAAGGTAGGGATGGAGATGTGAAGGCCAACATCTGCCCCGCCCGGCCCAATTAACATCCCTATTTGCTATTAGCGGTATTACCTTTTTAAAAGGTATCTCGAAAAATATTATGTTTATATTTTTTTTTCTATTTTTTTACTAAGTTTGTGTTTTCTTTTCAAAACACATGTTCTGTTAAATGTTTCCTTTACAATCTAATTTAATAATGCCGCACCTCTTTGTTAAGGTTTTTTTTATATTTTTTTTTTGAATTGTCAATATGGTATTTAATAATTACTTTTATTTTAAAATGTCTTTAGTAATTTCTACTATCACACAATACTACTACTACTACTAGTACTACTACTACTACTTAAAGGTGGGCACGGGCCGAGTTGGCAAGCGAGCGGTCCAGCACGGCACGCTAATCGACGCGGCACGGCACGGCCCGCTAGCTGGCCCGACCTGGCACGGTGGTTGCTTGGCGTGCCGTAGGCCGTGCCACGAACAACGATTCATTTTTCTGGCACGGCCCGGCACGAGCCATCTCTTGGCCCGCCGTGCTGGCCCGCGTGCCAACGACCATAAACGGCTATAATGTCGTTGCTCCAACGGTCATAAACGACCATTTTTTCCCCAATTTCTTTCCTAAATTCCCTATAAGTACCCAATTCCATTCACTTCCCAATCACAAATTCACAATCTTCTTCTCTTAATCTCTTATATTCTCTAATAATCCTTAATCTCTTATATTCTCTAATAATTCTCTTAAATTCTCTAAATATTATTTATTAATATCGAAAAAAATTAAAAGTTTGTAATTGTAATTAGTGGAAAGCGTTGAAGCACGGTTGTAAGATCTAAACTAATCTTTAATTTATTATTGTTGTTATTGTTATTATTACAATTATTGTTATCAATTATTATTGTTGTTATGGTTATTGTTATAATTGTTGTTATTAATTATTATTATTGTTATTATTATTGTTAAAATTGTTGTTATTAATTATTATTGTTGTTAATTACTTATTATTAAAAATTATTATTATAAATTAAGGCACCGAACAACCCATCATCTAGGGAGAAGGGGAAAGTCCGACTTGTCCGTGGTAGTAGTTCTAGGGAATCACCTAATCCAACGAGCCCCCAAATTCCTAGTCCGGCCATTCCAACCAATGACCCCGGTAACGTCCCCCTAGGCTTTGAGCAATTTAGGCACGATGGTACTTCCGGTTTTCAACCCTATAACATGAATAATATGCCCGGATTTCCACCACCAAACCAATTTTCACAATTCGGTCAATTCCCACCAAATTACTTTGACCCACAAAATTTTTATTCTAGCCAAGGTAGCCAACAAACCCTAAATTCCTCCGGTTCTACTACTAACCAACAAATCCTCGATTCTACAAACACCCAATTCCCAAACACACATGAGGAATGGTTAACCGAAAGTGAGATGGTACATATCAATAGCCGCAAAAGTGAGGTATGACGTTATTTCCTCCTAACTAGAGACCAAACAAGAGAAAAATGTAAAACATGTGGTCATTCATTCTTGGAAAAATCCAAATCGAGGACAGGACACTTAAGTAGACACATGAGAAGTTGTGCAAAACCAGCTAGTGATCCAACCCAGCCAAAAATTTCCCAATTCCATCCACACGGCTTTACCTACAACTATGAGAGGGATAGGGATGAACTAGGGAAAATGGTAATACACGCCGAACAACCTTTTCTTTTCTCCGAAAGTGACCCATTTAACACTTACATTAACAAAGCATTACAACCCCAACATAAAAGAATCTCTAAGGAAAACCGTACGTTCTGCCGCCATGAAAAAATTTCCTAGAGTACAAAATGCGGTTAAAAGACGAATTGAGTAACCTTAACTGTAGAGTGTCTTTGATTGCCGATTCTTGGGATAGTGGTTATAAATATCACTATTTATGTGTGACTTGCCATTGGGTAGATGATCAATGGTTGTTACAAAAACGAATAATTCATTTCAAAATGGTGGATACCCCCACACCGGTATTAACATTGCTCACCATTTAATGGAAGCAATAAATGAATACAACCTTCGAGATAAAATCAAGTCTATGACATTTGACAATGCAACCGCAATGACATATACTGCTAATTATGTCAAACAAAACTTGACCGATGTAATATTAGATGGTGACGCACCTCATACTAGATGTGTTTGCCATGTTCTTAACTTGTGTGTACAGGATGGACTTAGAGCAATGGGTCCATACTATAACAAAATTAGAGAAGCTATTATGTCTATTAATAGCTCAAACATGAGACACCAAGAATGGAAGAGTTTTCTAAGACAACAAAAGATAAGGGCAATAAAAATCAAAACCGATTGCCCAACTAGGTGGAATTCCACCTATGATATGTTAACCAAGGCAATTGAGTACAAGAATCCATTGACAATTTTTTACAACCAAAAATTTCCAAACAATGCTACATATGAGGATGATTGGGATAAATGTGAACGATATATGCAATTTTTACAGTTATTATATAACATGACGTATTGTTTTTCTTCTGTTTATAATCCTTGTGCTCAAAACTTTCTTTCAAATGCATGTTTACTCGCCCAACTTTTCGCTGATCATTGCAACTAAAGTGATTATGATCAGTATCTTCCGGCAATGGAAACAAAGTGGCGTAAATATTATATTGAAATTCCTTTGATTTATATTTTTGCTTCCATATTAGATCCTAGGCAAAAGTATGAAAATACATTTATGTTAGTTGACATTTACTTTCAATGCATGCTTCTTGACGATGATGTAGATACCTATAAGACTAATGTGAAAGATCAGTTTTTTTGCTTTATATAGAGTCTATGAAACCAAATATGGCACCATTGCTCGCTCAGGCCCTTCCCAACCATCCAAAAACGTAAGTAAGAAGGCCAAACATTTATTTTCACAAGCTACTAACTTGATTTCAAGGTTTTTAGGTGATTCATCAATAAGGAGAACGCAAAGCGATGTCTCGGAGTTGCAAATGTACGTGAGTTACTACTTCACCACGGGCATGGACGATGATGAGATAAAAAACCTCGACCTCCTTGCATGGTGGAAACAACAAAGCACGAAACATCCAACTTTGGCGGCAATGGCACGAGACATTCTTGGTATCGAAGTCTCCTCCGTTGCCTTCGAACGAGCTTTCAGCGCATCCGGGAGGGTTTAGACGATAGAAGAACAAGTATAAAACCCGAAACACTTGAAATGTGCGTGTGTTTCAAAGATTGGTTGGATGCAGAAAATCGCTCACAAGACCAATCTTACGATGACAACGACAACGACAACGATGAAGGAACCTCCGCTTCCGACCGTTTGGGTTCGACTAGTTCCTAATCTATGCTACTAGCCGATGACCTTGAAGCCGAAGACGCAAAAGAAGAAGAAGAATAGACAATTTTTGTATATTGTACGAATTTTATCATTATAAATATTATCATTTTACGATTTTTATCATTATCCAATTTTTGTTTAATATCCTTGTACGATTTTTATCATTATTATCATTGTACAATTTTTTCAAGTAATAATAATATGAAGTACGCATTATTCACATCCAAAATCCAATTTGCCTTTTTTCCCCGTTAAGTTATAATTTGTAAATTAATATAACAAAGATAAAATTATAATAATTAATAATTAATAATACAAAAATAAATATAATAAATTATAAACATTAAACTATAAAGTAATAGTATAAACTAAATATATAAATTTAAATATTAAATATAAAAAATAATAAAATATAAATATTAAACTTAATTTATTTTAGAAAAATAATAATATAAGATTATAAGTTATAAACTATTAATAAATAAATATAAAAAAAAAAGAGGAAGGAAAGGCAGCAGCCCAGCAGCCCAACCCGCCAGGCCAGCCCGCCAGCCTAGTACCAGGCTAGCACGCAGGCCAGTTCGGCACGAGCCCGCCTGGCACGTGGGTCGTGTCGTGCCGTGGGCTGGCCTGCGACTTTGGGTGGCACGACATGGCACACCTACTCCGGCACGGTGGCACGGCACGGCCAGCCGGAGACTATGGCCCGGCAGGCACGGCTTGCGGCGGCACGACACGGCACGATGCACACCTTTACTAGTACTATTATTATTATTATTATTATTATTATTATTATTATTATTATTATTCATGACCTAAATTAAGCTCAAAGTTTGAAAAAAAATATCTTGTTTTGTG